CGAGGCCTGCATCTTGCAGACTGGATGCTAATTATAGCCTGTCATACAAGGACTTAATCTTAAGTGGTAATAGACTGGTTGTTTTTGTTTTGTCTTTGTTGCTAATGGATAATTGCTGTGGTGTTTCTGCTCTGCAATTGCCAATAATCACCTGTCAGTCACACAGTGTTGGTGGCACTACTATGTATTTTATTGTTATTATGGTTTTTTTTTTATGTGTTAATGAATTTTGAGTTTCTTTAGTGCTCATTACCAAAATAGTTTGAGTACCACTTATTAAGGTTAAGTTTGGGCTAAATTGAGTTTAATTAACCTAAAGGAAACTAAACTAAAGGAGTATTAATACAGAACTAATGCTGAATACACAAAATGATAATGATGATAAAAACAAACTTTCTTTTAGCCTTTTTTAGGAGGTTATCATAAGAATAATAATGGTTCAGCATTTTTGGTAAAATATGGTTACTTGTTTGCTTTGCAAATTGACTTCCTGAAGTCTTGTTGTCACAGTGGAGTTGCCAGGCAACCAACATTGACAGAAGGAAAATCACTGTTCCCAGCCAAAAAATATTCCAGCACATAACCCCCCCATAAAATGGCAAATTGTTGTTTTTATACTTAAGGTTTTATAAAGTGTTAATAAATGAGTTTTACAGGTGCTAGTTGACAGATTGTTTGCCCTGAAAAGCGGCTCTCGAGGTGGTCAATCAGTCAGTTCACCACTTTGGTCTGTACTAATGTAGCTTGACAGTTATTGGTTGGATTCTCATGGTCCCAGGAGGATACATTTTAATGACTTTGGTGATCCTCTGACTTTTCATCTAGCATCTCCTTCAGGTCACATTTTTCACTTATTCGATGAAATATTCATTGTTAATTGATATTCATGTTTCCCACAGGATGGATCCCACTGAGAAATAAAATAGGGAGAAATAAAATAATAATTCCTTAAGATACAATAGGGTCCTCGCAACAGTTCACCGCTCAGGCCCTAATTATCTGTCTTTTCTTCCAACCCACTCAGGATGCTGATCAATACCACAGTCCCACAAAACATGTCAGATTATCACAGGTGGCATTACAAGTGCTTGGAAAACACACTGCCATTGATTGATATTGCAGACACACAACAGCTGAGCTGTGAGGGCTTTTAGTTGGAGCCGAATTAGAGGAAAAAGCTGCAGGTCAATCCAAACACCCCTCTTACTGTATCTCCGTTCAAGTTTTCAAAGTGCACGGACATCTGCAAACACAAGAGCTATTTGTATCCTGTAAGGGCTGTAAAGGATCAGTTCAGGCCAATTACAAGACATTTTTCCAAAGCGTTTTGTAGCCGGGCCCAGTGCAAGCTAGATGGATTATCATTCTTGGTTTTCAGAGGATAAATCCTAATGACGTTGGTGATCCTGTGACTTTTCTTCTAGCGCCACTATGAGGTTAACAATTTTGGCTTTGACTGAAATATTTCGACAAGATTTGGATGGATGGCTTTCAAATTAGCTGCAGATATTCAGGCTTCCTACAGGATAAACTGTAATGACTTTGGTAATCCTCTGACTTTTAGTTTGTTATTGTGTTATTGTTGATTTTGTTGACTAAATACTAAATAAATCCTCCTCAGACTCTCAGATACTTTGTGTTTAGTGTGTTAATGAGGATAAGCTGAGGTGTAGAACATTGTAGGCCTCATAGAGTCGCTAGCTGAAGAATCAGTCTTATTCAGATGTCATTGCAATGCTTTGAGCACCATAAACAAGATTATATTCACCTCCATTGTGCTTGGCTAATGGCATATTGTATCTAAAGAGATATACAAAATCCTTGGCACATAACCCTACCACTATCTGCATGGTAACTAATAATGTATTATGTTTTGTTTTTTGGATCAGTTGGCCAATGTAGACCGAATACAGTTACAGGATACTAAGTAGTGTACACACAGAGGAAGCTTATATGACTGTGTGGTAAGACTGGTCTATATCAGGGAACTGGCTGAAGGTAAATGTCTCCCTGTGGACTGCCTGTCTTCTTTCTAAGGTGTTTTATAGCCATTCTCACCTCTGAGTCGACAGCAGACCAACATCTGCGTACAGGGGAGGAGGGCTCACATGTAAACATTATTTACACTCTACAGAAATTGTATGGACCCTTTTGAAATTCCACTCACGCAGTTTAGTCTCAGCGATGGAGATAAATTAGCATTTAACTGAAACTGCTCTCAGGCTGAGTTTATATTATGTATTGCTCGGTAGATATGGGAATAGAATTTAAATTTATTGGGGAGAAATGAGTCTCCGCATACTCTCGCGAATCCCATTTGGGCACAGTGGTTATTGTTAATGTCTAATGTAAATTGATGGACTGGATGGGAGCTGTGGTTCGACATATTTCCATATCAGCAAATTTTCCATTCTCAGATGTCAAAATCAGCTGTCTGTCAACAAAACACTTATACACATACTGCAGAAGGGCCGTGGTTCGCTGCTACGACTCTTGTTTGATCCAAGAAAGAAATTTAATTTCAGAAACTTTGGTTTTCTCCCTGCTGTCATTTGACTAAAGCCCAACCCTACCAAGTGTGGGTGGTTATTGAGGAGGTGTTATGAACAGGAAGAACAGCTAATAGAAAATAAATGGATGAAATAAGAATCAAAGATTTCTTAAATGTTTAAAATAGAAAAGAAAGACCCCAAATGTGCATTTCTGTGAGCAAAATAATTTAAGAAAATGAGTAAAATCATCTAATTCCAGAAACAACTTTATTTGGAACAGAAAGATAAACTTTACGATTTTATAGATAACCATCAAACATACTCACAGGATCACATTATTATTAAAAAGCAAGACTATGGCAGCAGTTTCCAAATTGTACACCACAAAATAATATTTCTGATGTTTTAACAGGCAATAATGAAAGCAAGAGTGGCATAAAAATATATAGATAATTTGTCTTTCCCACCTTACGAGCAGAAGAGTTACCATAAATAACAATCACTTGAAATACACAGGGAACATACATGAGTGAATCTACTGATATGTACAGTATTGGTACAATCATTGAACAAAAGTTGCAGCTGACAATTGACATTATTTCCCTTATACAGTCATGAAAGAAATCCTGTTTGACAGCGAGAGCTTCATCTTCCTCTGCTGCCGCCCAATTCCCCAGTGTGGTAGAGTGTGCTCAGAAATTCATAACCAGTCACTGATCTGGCAGAAAATGCCACAAAACAACAGCATATCTAAACATCACACGTCCGTCCGGCCATTTTCATCGGCCTACTGGAGGCTTTCACAACCAAAAAAGCGAGACGAGCAAAGCCATGGTTTGTTAAATCCACAGTTCACATGATACAAAACACGGACCAAAACATTCACTTCACTTTGCTTCAAATTGCAGCTGAAATATATCAACATATATTAAATGTCACACTGAATCTCTGTAACACTATATACAGTCTTTCACACTGCAAAACATGGAGGTTTACAACCACCGCCACTGCTGTTAGTGAGTGAGGTACCACTGTCTAATAAGGCATATTTTATATAAAGGGTTTATAAGTTGCAACTGAGGCTGCATTAAAATATATGCTGACAGTTTATTAATATTTATTAACTGTAAATGTGGCTATTAGAAATCGGAGATTCGTCAATAAGGGCTTGTGACTTGCTTTATAAATTAATCCGTTGGTAGTAAATGTATTTATACATTTAATAATTAATTCATAAATGTTTGAGAAGCCACTTAACAGCAGTGAAAGTCTTGTTTGTGCTGACCTTTTCTCACCGTGCTGCAGTGATGTAGAAGTGTACTCCAATACATTTTGACATCACTGGTGGGTGTGGTTACAGGTGCAATTTTCAGCTAAAAAGAGCAGTGAAACACTGCTTTTGACCATAGTGTTAAGTTAACCTTTAAAGGTCCAGTGTGTAACATAGAGGATCTATTGGCAGAAATTGAATATAATAGTCATAGGTATGTTTTCATTAGTGTATAATTACCTAAATACAGGAATCATTGTGTTTTGTTACCTTAGAATGAGCTGTTTCTATCTACAGACAGAGCTGGTCCTCTACAGAGGTCTTCATGTTGAACCGCAATGTTTTTACAGTAGCCGAGAATGGACAAACCAGCTCTAGATAGGGCATTTTGCAGCCACTGTAGTTTCTCCTTTGCGCTTGAAAGGCTGAGCTGTATTCAAATGGTTGCAATCTGTAACTTCACCACTAGATGCCACCACACTACTACTACTACACAGTGGTCTTTTAAAGGTTTCTAGCTTTATAGTTTTATCAAGTTATAAATATTAATACGACTTTTAGTGTAGACTCTCTAAGCCAGAGGTGTCCATACTTTTTCCTTTGGAGGGCCAAAACTGAAAATTCATGGTGGGCTACGTGCCAGAAGCAAAACCTCTATTATTTAATATTGTTAAGATGCAAAATGTACCTTAATTTACAGGCATCAAATTAAGTGTCACTCTGCTGGCCATGCTAATATTATGAAAAATAACTAGGGATAAAGTTAGTTATTATTATTATTATTATCATTATTTTAATTAAAACATTTTTTTTTTGTAAGAATCATTTGGTGGGCAGCCCTGCTCTAACCAATCATTAATGACTTGTTGTGGTTGCTAAGAACAGTTCATCTTTGTCTTGTTTATCACACTAACAGTCCCATTTTTGTTTTGAATAGATTCTGGCATCGGCATGGAAAAAATATGCCCCGATTCTTCATCTCTCTGAGAAAACTCTGGTTGTTTTTCCAGGCCGATATAAATGAGATAAAATTAGAAAGAGATTACATACACGCATCATTTCCTGTGAATCCCTTGTGCGTAGTTGTAGTAGACAATTTCCTGCTGGAGCTAACAAGTAAACTACTATATAGAAAGGTAATTACTGAATGGAAATACATTGAAGAGCTGTTGCTTTAAAATAAACAGTTTTGACAGGGTTTGATTGCATGAAAATTAAAGAGTCAAAGACATAAGAAGACCAATCAAGTTATGCAGGCGTACACAGCAACCAAAGGGATACCTGGCAGTCCAGAGGTTGTTCTTGCACGTGGCTTTATCTATTAAGCTTTATACAATGCTTTCCTGCCTATAAATAAAGCCATTAGTGACAACTTATAGACCCACCTAATATAATATAATAAATCAAATATAAATAATGCCTTATTAGAAACAGGATGAAGCTATGGAAGCTATAACAACACATAATAAACATCATTATGGCACTTTTTTAAATTCAAGTTACTTTATATAGTTTTGTTTCTCCTCTCTGTCAGTAAACGCTCTGTTCGTCATTAGCGGTGGGAAATCTCAACACGCAAATCCAGAGACCTTATGAAGACTTAACCCCAGCGTCCAGAACACACTCAGCACAGTCTGTCTTGGTTTCCACATTGTGCTCAAGGCCACATACATGTCCTTCACAATAAAAATAGGGCCTGTTTTGTCCGTGAAGGTTCAGGTGTGACTCACCCTTTAATGGACCACCTGCTCTGAACACAACAGGGGGGCAGAATGACATTTAGTTATTAAAGCTGCACAGGGTGAGGTGGGGTTTTTTTTGGTGTGAAAATAACTCTAATCCTCACTTTAAATCCAAAAGTCTGTCTGAAACTGAAAAATGTCCCATCATGAATTTTAATATGTACAGTACGATCAGTTCACTCTTGGAAAATGGTGAATGAAAACTGAATTCCAAGCCGGAGTTGTTGCTGTTATTTTGGTTTCTGTCATCTCTTTGGTATCCTTTGGTTTTAGAGCATCGCTGACCGGCTGTGTTGGTAAACGTGAATGTGTTTAGAGCAGTTTACTGACTCTCACACTGCAGGATTTCTGGAAATGGAGTTCACATTATGTCAGACCTTGCCAGTTCTTGCCATGCTGCCCTGTGCAGCTTTAAAGATCAGAAAATGAGTCTGTGCTGAACTGCACTATGGCACAACACCAAATATCTGAGGTGGAAATTGTGTTTTTGTTCACATTCATGTTTTATTGACTCATACATAGTATATTACGTGGGTAGGTCCGAGATAAGATAACAGCTATGCGTGTTAGCTAGTGCTTATCTGTCGATGTTTGTTGCTCTACAATGTCCGGTATCTTTCTCGATGAAGAGCGTGTTTGGCTTTGTGCCTCAAAGACTGTCAATATGCATCAGTGGCTGTAATCTGTGTTTACATCTCTAGCTACAGCCACCTGGCTTTGAAAAGATCAGCAGGCACTCAGGAAACAATGTCCCCACTTAACAGACTCCATTAAATAACATTTTAAAACTCTTTAATCCTCCACTGACTCTCAGGCTCTCAGGCGTCACTAAAATTCACCTTCCCGTACACACAAGGGTCTGGGAACATCATTTTCTGATCAGTCAGCAGTTCATCTGTGACGGTGAGCTCCTCCAGCTCTGTTGTGAAGTGATCAGTGCTCTCCACCATCGACGTGTCCTTCACTGCGCTGTACGTGAGGGCCACACTGTAGGTGGTGGGTTTGTCCAAGCCTTTCCTCCCACAGCGGCAGATCTTGCGGAAAGCGGCGCGAAACTTCTGAGACATGGCGTTGTAGATGACCGGGTTGATGGCGCTGTTGAGGTAGATGCAGATCCGACAGAAAAGCAGAAACCAGTTGTCCAGGTAGGCCTGGTCCAGGAAGGAGTTGACCACCACCAGAGTGCGGTACGGCATCCAGAGTGTGGCGAACAGGATCACCACCACAGCCAGCATCTTGGTAACCTAGAGTGAGAGAAATATGAGAACTGCTGCTGCAATAAACAAGGATCTATAGTGACCAAATCAATACTGCTGAGCTGTATCTAAAAACAGCAGACATGGAGCCACCCTTTTTATGATTCATTGACATCTAGAAAGAGGCAATAAATGTTTATTTGACAACGAGGGAGTTCTTCCCTTTTGTAATCTCAGTTGTTAAAGAGTCAATTCACCCAAACTCAAAAACTAAAAATACTGCTTGACTAGACACTACAAGAAGTCAAATAACTGTTTTATAATAATTTATTTTAGAGCTGAAACTATTAGTCTATTAATCAATCAGAGGGGAATTAAGTTATTTTTATGCCGTTGTATTTTTATTCTATTAGTAAACTGAATATCTTTGAATTTAAAAACTAGGACTTTATATGTTATAGTCCAAACCATTAATCAAGGAAATAATTATCCAATTAATCTATAATGAGGATAATTGTTACTTGGAGCACTCATTTATTTGTTTGTTTGTTCATTTATTCATCCATTCATTGATGTTTTTGTAATCTGGGTGAATCAACACATTTTTCTCAGAAACTGGGGCGGCAGTAGCTCAGTCCATAGGGACCTGGTTTGGACCGTAGGATGGCCTGTTCAAATCCAGCGTGGACTATTGAATATGGAGGTGAACTGGTAGCTGCAGAGGTGCCAGTTCACCCCAGTGACGCTGCTGAGGTGCCCTTGAGCAAGGCACCTGACTTAAGGCACCGTACTGCAGCAGACCCGTCGCTCTAGACTTCTCTCCACATCAACTGCATGTGTAAAGGTTTCTGTGTGAGTAAAAAAACATGCTAATAAGAGTGAAAAGATGAATTTCCCCGAGAGGATAATTAAAGTAATTAGTTTAAATTAATTAAAGCCAAAACTGTTCTCTCTTACAATGTTTTTTTCCAGGAAGATGAGCATTAACTTAAAGGAAATTAAAGAGGTTACAATATAATTTTGTGTTTTGTAATTAATATATAAGTTTAAGTGCAAAGCAACCGATATTAATCTAAAGCCATGACTCTTAATAATATTTTTAAATTAAGACAAGTGGATGAATGCCTTATGCACAGAGAATGCCAGTTGTTTTTATTTATTTATTTATTTTATTTAAAGAGATGGAGGAGTATTCAGATCATTTATTTAAGTCCTGCACTGTAATTTTTTTTTTACTTGAGTAAAGTATTTAAATATTTCCTCTTTTCTTCGGCCTTTGACACCATGTAGAGCGTTGATTTTATGTGTATACATGCATATTTTTCATATGCACTATTGTTTGTTATCTGGTGCGGGCATTGCTTTATTTATTTTATTTTATTTTACTATTTTATTCTATTTTATTTATTTTATTGCTTTTATCTTTTACTGTGTACTTTCGCTGTGCTTCCTATTGTTTATTCTATTTTTATTCTGTATATCTTTTTGTGCAGGCACTTTAGAAGCCTTGTGTTTGTTGAAATCGTGCTATATAAATAAAGTGGATTGGATTGGATTGGATTAATAAATAAATTAATAAACAAAATACTCTATGCAGAAAAACTGCCCCTGTGAGTGTTATATTATAGTTTATTTTAATAAATGCGTAAATTGCGGGGAAAACTAGATTGACTTTATGGTTTCAAGATAAGTAATGTGTGACTGTATGATATTTGGATATACTGATTGAGATACATGGTGTCAGCCTGGCTGTCATCCTCTCCAGCCTCGTACACCACCCACCCACCCACCTGTCTGCGGGAGGTCGCGGTGGAGCTGGAGTGACGGGAGTTCTTGCAGCTGGTTCTGTTGTTCACGTTGTGGTTGTTGTGTCCGTTCTTCTTCTTGTCTTTGGGGTCTGAGGGCAGCGGGTTGAGGAAGAGGATCCTGGCGATGAGTCCGTACAAGACCGCAGAGAGCAGCAGCGGCAACACGAAAAAGACGCCGAAATCAAAAAAGTAAATGGGTAAATAAAACTTCCTGGGGACTCTGTAGCCGCAGGTGATGATGGTCATGTTGTCGTACACCAGCTCCTGGATGTCTGACAGGTAGAACCACATCACACAGTAAAGAGAAGTAAAAGCCCAAACGAATAAAATGATCTTTTTTGCTCTGGACAGGGTGCACAGAAACTGAGCTTTAATCGGATGGCAGATGGCGATGTATCTCTCTATGGTGAACGCTGTTATGGAGCAAGATGAGGCGTTGATCCCGAGATACTGAAAGTAGGTGATGCAGAGGCACCCATAGTGGCCAAACACCCAAGTTTCGAAGATACTGTCCGTGATGGAGGGTACACCAGCCGCAGTAAGCACCATCAGATCAGCCACAGCCAAACTCACCAGGTAGCAGTTGGTTGGAGTTCTCATGTGTTTGGTGGTGAGCACCACCAGGATGACCATAACGTTGCCAACGATTCCTAGAGCACAAATCACGAAAAGCAGCACACTGCTTATCACTTTGTACTGGATACTGTAGTCCGTCCAGTTCCCCAAAGTGTGGTTCAGCTCTGGAACTGTTGTAAAGTTTTCCATCTTGTTGTTTTAGCTCAAATATCCGAGGAAAAATTGACCGATCAGCGGGTTTGTTGCTTCCTGACGCACCGAACAGGTTTTACGCGCGACAGAAGCGAGAGATTAATCAGCTCTGCAGGTCCGGAAAAGTGTACATTGATCTAAAAAAAAACTCATGAAAATGCACCCAGCGGTGTGCTGCACATTAAAACATTCATACTGTGACAAAGAGCTGCTCGGACTCTGGTGTAAGTCCGCGGTCGTGTTGTGCGTAAAAAGCGATGCGTCGCCGTGTTCTCGTCAGGACAAACTGTCTGTCAGACAGATGGCGGTTTGGTTTTGAGCCTTGCTCTTGGCACCAGCTCTCATTACGCATGCGAGGGGATTAGCCCATCATTACATTTTCTACACCAGACCTCCTCCCATCAACAAAGCTGCTCAACCGACCAAATGTAGCAACATATTTGTGTGTTTCTGTTATTCTAATATGGTTATTGTTTTGCTTACGGAAGGCTTCAGGAATCAACGTTAGTGCTGCTTATAAAGATTATTTTAAACACGCAGGTGTGTGTGTGTTTGTCTCTGGTATGTTGAGCTGCGTCTTGAAAGCAAGTTTAAACTTAAAATCAGAATTCATTATGTAAGATTTCTGTGTTTCTATAAGAAAGGCTCACCTCTGATGACCAGCTCAGCTCAACAGGCTGCCACTTTAATAAAGCAGACTACATTATGGAATGAACCGCAGTTTCTGCAGTATTTTTATGCCTTTAGGCGAAGCTACGAGCACTTTCTCCTTCAGTGTAACATTTGGAATTTAACTTAAAAGTGAAAACATGTTTGGAAGATGGTGGAGGAGCCTGTACAGCCTTCTTTTGCATGACTGCATTCATAAAGATGTGTCATTTTTTAAAATATTAATTTGAATGTTATCTGGTACATTTCCAGGTTACAGCTGATGGATGAATTCTTGGTTAATCTAAGATCAAGACAGTTCTGACTAGCAAAGTGTCCATATCATCACTATGAATAGATTGTCTTCTCTCCACTTACAATATATATCAAGGCTGCAGTCAGTATCCAGAGCAGAAATTCTGAGGTCATGAGACATATTTTATGTGTATAAACATAGAACATGTAGACTTATTAGATGAGAATATTTTAAAAGACATTACCCAACAAAACCCTAAACTAAAACAAAGACTCTAACAAATACTTATATTAGAACAGAAAACATTGTATTAATAACAAAAAAATGTTGCACTAAAGTCAGACAGCTACCACTGCTATAGTGTCAGTTAGGGGGCATGTGTGAGTTAATGTGTGTGTGTGTGTGTGTGTGTGTGCGTGTGTACTTGTACATCCATCTTTGTGAGCACTAATTTTAGTTTTAGACCTTCAGAGTGAGGACATTTCTGGAAATTGAAGATATTTTTGCCAGTCCTCGCTTCTTCTAAGGTCTGCTTGAGGGTTCAGACTTGGTTTAGTTTACAATTAGGTTTAGGTTAGGTGTAGGCTAAGGGTTGGGGTTAGGCATTTCTGGGGTCTATAAGGTGTGTGTGTGTGTGTGTGTGCATGCATCTACAAGATAAGGTAAAAGGGGAGGATGGAAGATTGAGTTGTGATGTTATTAGATTATATTCAAGTAAAAAGGACTTAAGACTAAGAGAGAGAGAGAGAGAAAACAATACAATAGACAAAAAACAAAGAATAATATTTATAGTTTCATTACTATTTAATTCCCTATGAATAAAACACCATTCTGCTGGAGAAACACTGAATCATTCTTATCAGAGCCAATTGTTATTGACTTAAAAGTCAAATGTAGACATATGGAGTCTAAAAAAGACTATAAAATACCAACCATAAAAATTATTTTAATGTCCAGTGTCCCAAATTCTCAATAAATTACAGAGACCATGTTCTCAGTGTCTTCAGTGGTAGCTACAGCTCAGATTACAAAGAGGAGATAGATTCAAGGAGGACAGATTCAGTGGAGATTTATGTGAAATGTTAATGTGTTTTGCATTTATTTGTTTCACACTTTCAGTCTTATATGCTGCAAACACCTTCTGTCCATTTTTCAACACCAGATTCTGACACACGTCTTTAATATATGTTACTTTACTGCCGCTTCACTGTAGTAACAGACACAATTTCCTGACACATAATGCACTTAAAGCAGCAAATAAGTGCTAAAATGTGAGATACACTTCACACTTCAAAAGACTGTACTGACATTCTTTGATTAATTAAAGTGCCAATTAGAGTTTAAGCACCTCAACTGTCAACGCCTGCTATACTGTACATTAAATCTACTTATTTCATGCTGTGTCACTGGATATGATATAGTATATTTTAATATGCGAGCTCTTGAAACTAAAAAATAAGCCAATACTCTATTGTAAAGCCAACATAAAAAGCACAAAAACACAGATCTGCAGTGACCTCTATTAACTGCCATGCTGTCCAACAACATGGGAATCTGCAGTTGCCTGTTCTCTGCACAACACTGTGGAGGTGGGAAACTCTCCTCCACACCAACTGTGCACATTCTCCAGAACCTGAGCTGAGAATGGCGATGATCACGCCAACACGCACTTTGTTCGCGAGATTGTGCTGCAAGCTCTGAAGTTGCCAGCCGTCCATCCCGAGCAACAGGTGGACGGGGACGACAGGGAATTACATAATAATTACGCTGCCGCCCCCCCCTTTTTCTCCCATGATTCCCATTATCTACCACCAGTCAGTTTTAGTTGTATTACTTGTAGCCATTTTTATTCATCTGTTGTTGTCATCCTGGGTGAAGTTAGCAGATACAGATCTGCTGTTATAGGCGGAATTTAAAGGATTGTATGTCCTTACTTTAGAGCGAAAGTCAACTATACTTCGAAAAGGTTAAGAATGTGAATTTAAAGGTCCAGTGTGTAGGATTTAGTGGCATCAAGGAGTGTAGTTGCAGATTGCAATTCCTATGCTTCACCCTTCCCTTCAAAGCCTGTAGGAGAAACTACAGTGGCCGTAAAACTCACAAAAGCTACAGCCAGTGTTTGGTTTGTCTGTTCTAGGCTACTAGACAAACATAGTGATTCAACATGGCGGCCTCATGGAAGGCGACCCACGGCATCTGTAGATAAAAACATTTCATTCTAAGGTAACAAAAACACAACAATTATTATATTATTATACACAAATGAAAACATACCTATGAATATTTTATTTCTTTTCTGCCAATAGATCCTCCAAAATGTTACACACTTAACCTTTAAGAAGCCATTTTTTGTGCCAACTGGACTGTAAAATGTAAAATGGCACAAAATAAGATTTTAACATTCAGACTTACCAAGAGTAAAAGGGTCTGTCATGTCCTCCAAACAGCTAAAACCAGGTCCTCTGTCAATGAGTTACACTGTTTACAAATAAATAAATTGTAATTAACAGACTCATTACTGTTGTTTTACATGTACAGTTCCTGTTTAAACGCCTTTGCTTGATTACATTATTCAACTCAGCAGCGGCGGTAAAGAAAATCACAGTGAAAGAGAAAAAGAAGGAAAGAGTTTTACTGCCACCCAAAGGACACATCTGACCATTGCGACTGAGAAAGACATTCTTTCTGTGGTTTGTTTTTGTTGTTATTCCAAAACTAAGTGAGATTAGAACTGACAAATAATTAGTAAAAATCAGGTTTTATTAAGGGGTGAATTTATGGAACAGTTATACTGAGGAACTGAAAACGTTTTAAGTTTAAAAAACATTTAGGAATTGAAAAAGTAAAAGTAGTAATACCACAAAAATATTTAATTACAAGTAAGCACTGAAGTCTTATCAGCAAATTTAAAGTATTAAAAGTAAAAATACTCATTATGCAAAACAAAGGCTTATTTGATGGGGTTTTATTTCATATATAACTGAGTCTTGTAAACCTAATTTTCTTAAAAGAAGTGAATATTTTATTTCGTTAAAGTAATTTCTGTAACTTGAAACCAGACAGAATAACAGTTTGCTCTTCGCTGGCATTTTCTTACAGCACTGGTAGATTTTGTTACTTTTTTGTCAAACAAAATAAGAGATTAAGAACAGAAAATTACTCAATAAGTAGATTTTGTGAACTGAAAAATATTTTACAAACTGTTCATATGTTTTGAAAGAATCTTAGTATGCAAAATAACTTCAGGTGTCAAAACAATATAGTGAAGTATGAAGTACAATATTTATAAGTAGCAGAAAAATGAAATGCTAAATTTATTTTTCAAGTAGTACAAGTACAAGTACTTCAATAGTGAACTTGAGTAAATGCAGTTAGTTACTTAGTTACTTTCCACCACTAA